AGCATGATAACGATCAGAGGAAAATGCTAGGAACAAACCATGCAAAATCTGTTGGAACATGGAGGAAACCGGAGTGACTGCTAGGAACAAACTATGACGATGCAGTAAACATGTTGGAAAAAGACAGTGAAAGTGCAGGAAAATGCGATAACAACCAGAGGAAATGGTGCAAAAACAATCGGAAAATGAAGGAGACGGGTAAAACTCTTGGAAAAATACATTGAAAATGCAGCAAACTAGAGGAAATGGTGCAAAAAGGAGACGGGTAATAATCTTGGAAAAATAGATTAAACATGCATGAATAGACTGAAAACCCACGAAGAGGATATAGAAACTGCAGGAAAACATGATAACAATCAGAGGAAATCGTGCAAAATCCACTGGAAAATGCTGGAAAGATACAGTGAAGGAAAATGTGATAACAACCAGAATAAAGGGTGCAAAATCTGTTGGAACATGGAGGAAACCGGAGCGACTGCTAGGAACAAACGACGATGCAGTAAACATGCTGGAAAAATAAAGTGAAAGTGTAGGAAAATGCGATAACAACCAGAGGAAATGGTGCAAAAACGATCGGAAACTGAAGGAGACGGGTAAAACTCTTGGAAAAATATATTGAAAATGCATGAAATGCAGGAAATGAGAGGAAATGGTACAAAAAGCCATAGAGGAAAGCGGTGAAAATGGTAGGAAGCATGTAATAAAAAAAGCTGGACAAAACACAGTGAAAACCTACAAAAGAGAAGAAAGTAACCACAGGAAACGGTAGAAAAAGCAGTGGAAACTGGAAGAAAAGTTGTGACAATATTAGGAAAACGGTGTGCAAGCTAGGAAATGCTTGTAACAACTAGAGGAAACGATGTAGAAAACAGTACGACATGGAGGACACGCATGAACATGCTCGGAGGCATGTAACATGTTAGAAAAATTACGAAAGCCAGCTAGCTGGCTAGTTGCTGTTTGCGAACGAAGTGAGAATAGGGGGTGTGGGGGGGGGTGGTTGCCGAAAGGGAACGAAATCTCGCCGTGCCCCTGTGTTGAGCGCCAGAAAACGGAGCATTTTGCTGGATTATGTACCACTAGGTAATTTGCTGACGGTGGGGTATCGATTCCCCCTAGGTCCGCCTTTTTGGTGGCCGGAGAGACCATGAGGATGTATTGGAAAATACAATGAAACTGCAGGAAAACATGATGGCGACCAGAGGAAATCGTACAAAATCCCCTGGAAAACGGACGAAAACGGAGCGAATGCGAGGAACAAACCATGGAAAATCCCTTGGAAAATGGAGGAAACCGGAGCGAATGCTAGGCGCAAACCATGACGATGCAGTAAACATGCTGGAAAAATACAGTGAAAGTGCAGGAAAATGTGATAACAGCGAGAGGAAATGGTGCAAAAAGGATCGGAAAATGAAGGAGTCAGGTAAAACTCTTGGATTAATATTAATATTGAAAAGGTATGAAAATGCAGGAAACCAGAGGAAATGGTGCAAAAACCATCAAAAACCTATGGAGGAAAGAGGTGAAAATGATAGGAAACATGTAGTAAAAAAATGCTGGACAAAACATATTGAAACCCCACGAAGAGGATGTATTGGAAAATACAATGAAACTTGAGCAAAACATGATAACGATCAGAGGAAAATGCTAGGAACAAGCCATGCAAAATCTGTTGGAACATGGAGGAAACCGGAGTGACTGCTAGGAACAAACTATGACGATGCAGTAAACATGTTGGAAAAAGACAGTGAAAGTGCAGGAAAATGCGATAACACCAGAGGAAATGGTGCAAAAACGATCGGAAAAATCAAGGAGACGGGTAAAACTCTTGGAAAAATACATTGAAAATGCAGCAAACCAGAGGAAATGGTGCAAAAAGGAGACGGGTAAAAATCTTGGAAAAATAGATTAAAAATGCATGAATAGACTGAAAACCCACGAAGAGGATATAGATGATATAGAAACTGCAGGAAAACATGATAACAATCAGAGGAAATCGTGCAAAATCCACTGGAAAATGCTGGAAAGATACAGTGAAGGAAAATGTGATAACAACCTGGCAGGAAAATGTGATAACAAGAATAAAGGGTGCAAAATCTGTTGGAACATGGAGGAAACCGGAGCGACTGCTAGGAACAAACGACGATGCAGTAAACATGCTGGAAAAATACAGTGAAAGTGCAGGAAAATGCGATAACAACCAGAGGAAATGGTGCAAAAACGATCGGAAACTGAAGGAGACGGGTAAACTCTTGGAAAAATATATTGAAAATGCATGAAATGCAGGAAACGAGGGGAAATGGTACAAAAAACCATAGAGGAAAGCGGTGAAAATGGTAGGAAGCATGTAATAAAAAAAGCTGGACAAAACACAATGAAAATCTACAAAAGAGAAGAAAGTAACCACAGGAAACGGTAGAAAAAGCAGTGGAACCTGGAAGAAAAGTTGTGACAATATTAGGAAAACGGTGTACAAGCTAGGAAATGCTTGTAACAACTAGAGGAAACGATGTAGAAAACAGTACAACATGGAGGACACGCGTGAACATGCTAGGAGGCATGTAACATGTTAGAAAAATACAGTGAAAACCTAGGAACATGTTATAACTAAAAATGCTTTAAAAATATAGTGAAAACCAAGACAATGTTAACGAGCGGAAACGTTGAGCAGGAAATCCGATTTGGTTTCTGTAGATAATGTTAGATGATGAGCAATGTAGTTTGGTGATAGGAAATAGTGGCTGACTCGCGTACAAGACATTGCCATGAAACCTTGGAGCAAGATGCGGATGGTATAGGAAAAAAGATGTATGAGTTGTAAGATTTTAAGAGTTGCATGGGAAAATTGGTTTCATGGTAATCTGTGTGAAGTTAGAAAAGTGTGATTTCGTTCACAGAGTAAGAAAAACAAATACAATCTGCAGATTAGAGTATTTATAATGCTTAAAGCTGTTTGACGCTTTTGGTGCCTCCCTGATTCTGGTAGTTTTGTGATAAGAGCTACAAAAACGATCTACTGGTAAACGAAAGGAATAGTCTTTCCGGTTTAGAACTGAGTCGACTGTCAAGTGATGCATAGGCTCCAGGCCTCTGGTTATTGTCACAAAGCATTGGAATGAAGATTGCGCCCAGGAGCCACCTAGGTTAGGAGACAAATGCTGTAATATCATTGTAAGAGGCCGTACTGAGAAGGCTGAAACAGAACTAAAAGTGAATCTTGTACCAAAACATCGAGAAAGAATTTGAATCTTCTAATGGCAATGACGGGAATGATATGCATCTGTACGTCCGTGATAGTATGTGTGCCTTTTAAGAGGATGTTTGGCGAGTGTGATAGCTGAGAAGATTTTCCGGGATGCCAAACAATTATCTCTATCGATGTCAGGGATGATGCTATTCCGCGACATTTCCTGTAAAATGCCTATTTTCCAGACCCTTGGGGGGTGGGGGGGGGTACCCAGGTCTGTAAATGGCCTAAATATATATACTTTTGATTTGGACTTCATGTTCGCCACTGTTCTGTATTTCCCGTGGGTTTTGCATTGTTTTCCTCGATTTTCATTCGTTCTTATACCCTTTCTTACCTATGTTATAATATTGTCTTGGGTTTGCACTGCCCATTTTGCGAGTAGAGCTATGTTTTGATTTCTCACCGTACGGCCAAAATGTTGCGGAACTTCGCGGAGAAGCATGGACCACGATTCTGGGGAGAAAACAATTTAGACTGTGAGAGGTCACATGACCATTGTTCACACAAAAAAGCGGGTATTATCTATCTACAATAGGTGGAAGCAAACTTGCGTTGTTTTAAGATAAATGAGCAACCAAAGGCGGATTTACGGAACTTGGGATAGAACTTTTCACAATGCCGCAGTACATTGTAGGAAACATATTTGGATATAGAAGTTACAAAATCGTGGAGTTTACCCAAAAAAGGTCCATTTAATGATTGGAAAATTATGACCCGATAGCAATTGTTGATGTTGGGGCGCTTCATGTTTGAGCCATGCCATATGGATGAGGTGGAGTTTCACGCGCCCCCGCGCGAGTCAAAAAGACAAGCGCTGGCTTTCGTTCCACCCCTTCTCAGGTATCATATATGGTATTGGTTTTTATCCTGATGTATCTTAAAGTATCGTAATAAACCTTTTTGTACCGCAACGTATCGTGATGTACTGTAATGTATCGTGTTGTACGGTTACCTAGTGTGATTTGCCAATTTGCCGATTTGCCGTCATGTATCCTAATGTATCGCAATGTAATAATACATTGTGACGTATCGCAATGTATCGTAGTTTATCCTAGTGTATCGCAATGGATCTTAACGTATGTAATGTATCACAATGTATATAGTAGAAAGTATTGTAAGTGTCGTAGTTCTTCCGAATCCATTATGAGGTATCGTAACGTATTGCATTGTATTGCAATATATTGCTACGTGAGGTAATGTATGGTAATGTATGGAATGTATTGTAATGTATTGCAATGTATTGTCATGTATTGTCATGTATTGTAGTGTATTGTATTGTAATGTATTGTGATGTATAGCCATGTACTGTGGTGTCTTGTGATGTCATTGCAATTCATGGTAATGTCAATGTATTTTAACGCAATGAATTATAATGCAGTGTAGTGCAATGCAATGTACTGCATGGTAACGTAATGTAGTGTCGTGTAATGCAATGTAATGTAGTGTAATACACTGTAATGAACTGTAATGCAATACGATGCAAGGCAAGGCAAGGCAAGGCAAGGCAATGGAATGCTATGTATGTATGTATGTAATATAGTATGATATAATGTGATGTGATGTGATGTGATGTGATGATCATGATGTGATGTAATGGATTGATGTATATATGTACGCATCCAATATGTAAATAAATACATATATATATATACACCGTCTACTTGCTGATGATTGATGCTCGCTACATAGATACTCAAAGACCATGCCACAAAACATCCCATCACATGAGAATTTTCGCTGTAAAACGCAGGCAGCTGAGAAGTACATTGACTCCCTGCTGCACTGTTTTCCGTTCGCTTCCATTGCCACCTTGTTTCACGTGTGTCTCACCTGGCGTCATGGTGTCCTTGACAGTATTGTGATTCAGTTCGAGAGAACATGTAAAGCGTTTGTCTAAGGAACACATGGAGGCGAAAGCAGAGGATCACATCCGTGACATTCGCACCGACGCAGAGATAAAACAGATGGACATTGAAGAAGCTGTTCCATGGCTGCAGTTTTTCCAGCTTCGTTCATACTTCTCACTTCTGAAACTCAATCCAGAACTGGCCCCGCTCCAGGTTTCACAAGATTTCACTCAACTGAGGCAATGGAATACTTGGAGGAACATGTCAAGGTATCTGCGGTGGAGATTCTTGCAGTTCTTTGTGACCTGCGGTTGGTTGAAGTACCTGACGATGTGTGGAAACAAATCTTAGATGCAGACCGATCATCTGGCTATTGATGCCATCCCGGGCGGGACAACGATCCAAAGGTTGCCTGCAGAAAGGCACAATGAACACTCTCGGCCAAGCTGAACCATGGCTTGGAAAATCGCCAAGCGATTAGTTGCAGCAAAGCGTGTTTGTAAGCTGTATGCACAAAATTAAACCCTGATCGGCTCGATTGCGCCGAAGGCAGCATCTGAAGACCTACACATCAGGGAGAAGCCACTGTAGGGCGTAAAAATATGTCAAAATTGGTACTGAACATGAGCAGATGTTCGAACCTATTGTGACTACATTTGATTACTATGTATTTTGTGTGTTTATGATTGTTTATGTACTGCGTGTAACATGTCTTCGGACCATCCATTTGCGGTGGATTCGCAGGTTGAATCTTGCAGCATTCAATCTTGACACGATTTACGTGGCTCAGTCAGGTCTACTTGGGATGAGGCTGTCATACCACACAGTAGAACAGATTCACCCCAACAGATTTCAGCATTGAAGATGTTTGCGTTTATCCCCTTCATAGCAGGTCAATGTTCTACAGTCTCAAAACAAGCCATCACAAAGCCTGAAATAAAGATGCATATACGCACACATGCTCACGCGCACTATGAATCTTGACTGTAGTTTTTTCCCCTTCAATGTGGATAGTTACTGAAGCTGTGTGTAAAGAGTTCGCTGGATGTTCGACTACTCCAGACCACACGATTCAATACGCAAGCGGTCAGGACGCTACGCCGCTACTCCATTTCTGTAAAGCGCCATGGAGTTCAGAAGAGGAGTCAAGTCTCCTTTAGCAGATGACTCTAATGATTGTGGTTTGGCGTTTGAAGAGGCTCTCTCCGGGTCTCACGTTTGCAATTTGCGCGTGACCGTCATGTGCTTTATGTACCTTTATGTCACCCTGTTCCTCCATGTTCCAGGTCCGTGCCACTTTGACAAAGATGCAATTTACGGACAAGGCAGATCGCTGTGAGCAAAGGTTTCAGGCTTGCATGATCTTGCATATATAGTGTGTGTGTGTGCGTGTGTCGATTCCTGAATCTCTAGAGATTCCCTTTTAATTTTAACCCAGCAACGGGTATGCCACTTCAGCCTTCAGCGCTGACAATGGGCGTGCAGGCGATTCTTGATGCTGAGTTGGTCGGGGGGACAGCCAGCCACTTGCCACAATGTTTGCCTAGACACGCGGTCTGCTTAGACACGCGGTCCTTTTTGGCAGTCCCAATGCCCTTCAGATTTGGTGCATCTAATTCTGCAACACTGCGTCAGGCAGAAGCTATGTCATTTTGGTGGGTCTTTTTGCGGCCCTTGGTGGGTTCCTGTTCGGCAGGGAGCTTAAGTAAGCGAAGGTACTCGTATCCTGAACAGAGATGAAGTAGATGAAGTAGATTTCGCTTGTGGAATTTGGGTGTCCTTGTGTTGAATTTGGGCTAGCGGCCAAAGTTTGCTCTATCCATAGGCCTGGACTTGGGCTACATTTCTGGCGTGGAGTCAATGGAGTCATTTTCTGACGATGTATTGCATGGAGAGACCATGAGACCAATCACCACAGGACAGAATGCTGTGAACATTCAATATGCTGTGCTCCATGTTGCCTTCAACGTTAACGTTGACAGTGACTTGCAGGAACAGTGACTGGTATATTTGCCCTGGGAGCTGTGATTGCTGCTTTTCCAGCGGTTCACTGGTCATGTTTTTGAGTGGTGGGTCAGCTGGCAATACTTCTGATTTTATTGCCAGGTGATCTCGTTTGTAGTGGACCTCGTTGGCCGCCGAGGATGTATGATTTTGGGCAGCAACCTTGGAAGACCGCGTGAAACACCAAAACTTGAGTGGCGTTGTCCGGGGTTGGAGGTTGAATTCAAAACTCATAGTTGCAATATTTATAGTGCTTTGATGTCCCAAGGTGGGGCAACATTCTGTGTTGGCGCAACAGTTCAGGGCACTTGCTCTCAGCCACACTGATTTTTAATTCGTAATGGAACCAGACCTGGAAGAGCTCCTGAAGAGCTATCAGGCCCTATGAATCCGTTTGAGGTGCAGCATTTACTCTGAACACCATTTTGTGCGGCCGAATGATCGCAGGCACGCGAAGGAAACGTATGGAAACGTGGGTGTTACCAATATGGGAAGAGCAATCATGATAATTTGCTGTTTGAGATGAGCTGCAGGTTTTGCTGTGGGTCTCCTCAGTGCACGGGTCTCACTAGACTTGAAAGACCGAGAGGTTGGAGCATTTTTGAACCCCTTTGACGAAGTCCTGGGCCGAGGCCAACGTTCCACTTTACCAGGGAGAAATTGCACCTCCGGAGCGGCAGCTCTGGAGTTTGTATTCAGTTCCGACACGTTTTGACACGTTTTGACCTGCGATTGATATTAGAGACTTTCCAGTGAGCCTTCAGGAACAGCGAGGGACAATTGTCGCCCTGTATCAGCATATGACTCAGACCACTGATGCCTTCATTGAACATTAAAATTGCTCAAGCATCTCACAGGCCAATCCAGAAGCGTCAGCAGCGTGAGCTGAGGTTGGCAATAACGATGGGTATCATGGTGGCGTTTTGGACGAACTACTGGCTCCAGCCAGAGAAGCATGGATGGCCAAAGACTCAGATCACTGGACGTCAGTTGCGTCTCGAAAGCCAGTCCAACACGAGGCGCTGCTCTATCTTGTTGCAGCTCATCCCTGGAGGAACTCAACGAGAAAGATTGCATAGTTCTGCTTATGTTTGCAACAGGTTGTGCTTTTTTCCTGCACGGTTGTCTTGCAATTTTCCCGGCAGCAGACATGTCAGGACTTTTTGCCATGGGAGCGACCTTCATGCTTGGAGCTCCAGACAATCAGTTTCGATTTCCACTTCCAAAGACATTGCTCCATTGAGGCCGCAATCTCCTCGGTGGCTGGTATCGAGGCCCAGCATGTTTTGAAGTCGCAAGCGGGCATTTTTACGACAATGTCAAGAGAGACAACGCAACAGGAGACGGTATAAAAGTGCCTTGGAGACGCTCCGGCGCATACGTGGCAAAAATGACGACGTGAGGTGGGCCTTTCATAAGTCGTCACTGCAAATCTGTCATTGTGACCAGCTTTCCTCCAGCATGCAGTTGCAGAGTTGCAGGATTGAACTGGTGGAGTGCTACAAAGAATACAGACGTGAAAGGAAGCTCGGCGGCAGCAAAGCAGGTAATTTTACGAGAAGGGTGTGACACGGGAGTGATTTCTGAGGTCGACGGGCAAGCCGAATTATGTGGAATTCTTGACTGGAGAAAGTGGAAAGGCAATGGTAGCTGAATGATCATTTTGTGAGATGGCAATTTTGCATTTTTCTGAAGCTTCAAACAGGTTGAGGTGAATGGGGTGTTTCATTTTCGCTGCAGGTTCTTTGTATTGGCATACTTTTACAGCTCCTACAGCAGCTATGCGGTCCGATGCTCAATGGAAAGTCAGCTCACCGGGCTGTCAAATTGCGACAATCCTGTAAACGTTTGGTCCATGCAAATTGACACATTCAATTTCACGGAATGAGCTCAAAAAGTGCAGTGCTGAGTGGCTGCAGACTGCACGCTCTAAATATTTGAAGAGCTGTATCAATTCATCATATTTTGTTTCACCCGCATATGATATGCAGCTTATGTCATGAGCGATGGCAGAATACCAGCCCCATAGACATACTCATTGAAAGGGTGTATTCAACAAACGAGCGCAAACTCGAAGATTTTGCTGCCAGGTTTGAATGTCTTCATGTATTACGGCCCCACTGTCTTCAAGAAGATCTTTCACACTCAAGGCTGACATTTTTCGACATTCTGACACGGAAAGACAGTGACAGAAACAGCCTTAGTATGGAGTATTGATGTGGGGGTTCAACATAGAGTGCGGTTGCGAGATAGAGTGGATCTGAGGTGCATCATTTCTGTTTGCGGCGTTGTCCCGAGCCAAGCTTCAAACTTGAGAAAGGTGGTGCCTTTGCCAATTCAATATTATGTTCAATGTGAAGTTTGGAGGTAAATTTGCATATTGCATCCAGGTCAGGACTGGTGAATTTTCTAAGCACGTTTCCGGCGTGGCTGACCTGGTTTGCCAAGTTGCAGCACTGGGCTACTTGGCTTGGCCCGGCTTGACCTCACCCGGCAGGCGCTGTGCCTGGTTGACCGAGTCGGACGCACAACTCTTTTGCTCTTCTCAGCATGTGGAATGACAATTTGTTGTCAACGGCTCAGTGACAACTCAGCGAAACTCTACCAGACTCTACCAGCTGTGCCACACAATGCGAGACTGCAGTGCCTTTGAATGGCTTTGAGACGAGGTGTCATTCTTGCAGCAGTGGCTGCCTTAGACCTTAGTCAGACTTAGTATGACTTAGTCAGAACTTAGTCATGTTTGATGGCGCCATTCGCCAGGTGGGAGATGCATGCTTTTCATCGGGTACAATCGTCATCGGCCTCAGAATTTCGTTCTGCATGGAACTCGACATAAAGATACGCCAGATACGCATGAAGAAATTTGTATTCTTATGTATTCTTTGCATAGCCGGTAGCTTTCAATCAGAAGAGGAATTGATTGCTTTGTAGTTGAAGCGCCCAGGATAGCTGCGGTACAATCTCTAAATATGCAATGGCAGGCTGGTAGCTGGATGCGACATGTCGCTTACACATTGCTCACACTCAGACTGTGTTCAATGTCCTTAATGTGAGCTGATGTGAGCTGTATCGGTGTATATCGCTCTATCGTCCCCTTCACAAGGCGCAGTCTTCATGGACATTTTCAATTATGCCTATGGCCGCTCGCTGGATGATCTTGATGACTGATTGATGACTCTTCAAGCAGATGACCCCAAGATACTTCAAGTTGCAGCTTCTCAGGGCTTCACAACTGAGGTTGGGGTCCGGTGGTTTGGATATATTGTGCGGAAATCTTCTCCTTAAAGTGCCCTGGCCCTTCAATCAACCGACTGACTTTTGAGACTTCTTTGGACCTTTTTGTGGCAAAGTATTTGCTAGGCACATCTTACATTGCTTCAGGTACAAGACCAAGGCAAATGGTTTGACCACAGGCGCCAACTGGGCCAGACCCTCAAGATCTAGGAGTTGATTCGAAGACTGGCAGGACCTGACAGGAGGCAAACAGGCAGCAAGAAAGGAATAGAATCTTGGCAAGGGCCGCGTTTCATCGACATGCATGTCGCTTGCCAGAGCGTCACAATCAGCCCTTGAAGGCCTTCGGATGGGTTTGGGAGTCTGAAGCCTGGCAAGTCCATTGCAAGTGCTAAGGTGGGAAACTTTCTGATCGGCTTCTCGCCACCTTGGCTAATGGAAAAGATCGGTTTCAAGACGCTGCGGGCTTGGCTTGAAATGAACACTTCAGCAGGCAACGTTTTAGTATAGGTTACGTCGTGCATTTGTTTGCAGCGGTCAGGTTCTGGATCTTTGCAGCTATCAATCTCCTCGCAGCCATTGTCAGATTTTCCCTCAGTTACTGTACAATGGTGGTTCTGTGTGGTTGTATGGAAGATGTCCTTTTTCTGCTGTTGCAATGAAGTTCTATTCTATTCCCATTTCCTTCAGGCTGCAGGCTACCAGAGACCAAAGGCAAGTCCTTGGAGGCCGTGATGTGGTGAGACTCTTCCCTTGCTGCGCAGTGTAGGGATTAGGTCCACTGGTCCTACAGTGTCCGGAATCATGGCAAACTTGGGCAAACTTGGACCATTTCTCAACACTGTTACATGGTCATATCCTCGTGTGTGGGATAACAAAACCATACAAAACCACACAGTAGATTCTCAGTCGATGGAAATAACATTTCTGTACATACAAATGCAGAGTGACAGATACTGTGGAGAATGGTGGGCAATGATAGACAAGGATGTGTAGTAATGGATCCTGATAGATAAGCATTGATGATGATGGAAAATGATGAGTACTAAGAGATGACAATCAGTAATGACGGGTAATGATGGATAAGGATAGATAAGCGTAGATAATGGTAGGTAGCAACAGGCAAGGAAAGGGAATGATAGAATGTCATGGGTATATCATAGATCATGATGCACAATGATAGATGATGGTAATGATGAAATTATTGGTAGGTAACGCTACATATATATGCATACATATATATATAGTGATAGATTATGACAGATTATGACAGATTATGATTTATGATGATAGATGATGATAGATGATGGATACTGATGGATGGTCATTGGTATCGATAGATCATGATACAGACTAGCAATGATAGATAATGATAGATCGATAATGATGGATCATTAATGATAATTATAGATGATTATGATATATAATGATATATAATGATATATGATGATGTATAACGACTAGCAATGATAGATAATGATCGATAACGCTGGGTAATGACAGATACTGATGATAGATAATGAGAGACATACATAACGATGGATAATGATAGATAATGATCCGATAGGTGATGATGCACGATGGAGACACTTAGATACAGTAGAAAAGATAGACGCTGTACATAGATGGATAGATAGGTAGATAGATAGATAAGTAAGTAGGAAGGTAGGTAGGTAGGTAGGAAGGTAGGTAGACAAATAGAGTAGATCTATCGGAATAGATGGATAGAATTATTGGATAAATATTAGATGGATACCTTGATATATAGATAGATAGATCATGATAGATGGATAGGATAGGATAGGACAGGACAGGATAGGATGGATGGGTAGGTAGGTAGGTAGATAGGTAGGTAGATAAGTCGGTAGATAGGTAGGTAGGTAGACAGATAGGGTCGATCTGCTGGATAGATAGAATTATTGGACATATATATGTATATATACATACAGATGGATATAGAGATAGATAGATCATGATACATATATAGATAGACAGGTAGATAGGGTAGGATAGCATAGCTTATATAGGATAGATCACGATAGACACATGATAAATTAATGATAGATCATGAAAGATTATGATAGCTCATGATAGATCATGATAGCTCATGATAGATCATGATAGATGAAGATAGCTGGATGGATAGATAGATAGATAGATATAGATAGATATAGATAGATACAGATAGATATAGATAGATATAGATAGATATAGATATAGATAGATATAGATAGATATAGATATAGATAGATATAGATAGATATAGATAGATATAGATAGATATAGATAGATATAGATAGATATAGATAGATATAGATAGATATAGATAGATATAGATAGATATAGATAGATATAGATAGATATAGATAGATATAGATAGATATAGATAGATATAGATAGATATAGATAGATATAGATAGATATAGATAGATAGGGATAGATAGATTATAGATAGATTATAGATAGATTATAGATAGATAGATTATAGATAGATAGATTATAGATAGATAGATAGATAGATAGATATAGATAGATAGATAGATATAGATAGATAGATAGATATAGATAGATAGATTAGAGATAGATAGATAGATACAGATAGATACAGATAGATACAGATAGATACAGATAGATACAGATAGATACAGATAGATACAGATAGATACAGATAGATACAGGTAAATACAGATAGATACAGATACATACAGATAGATAGAGATAGATAGAGATAGATAGAGATGGATAGAGGTGGATTGAGATAGATAGAGATGGAAAGAGATGGATAGAGATGGATAGAGATGGATAGAGATGGATAGAGATGGATAGAGATGGATAGAGATGGATAGAGATGGATAGAGATGGATAGATGGATAGAGATGGATAGAGATGGATAGAGATGGATAGGGATAGATAGAGACGGACGGATAGAGACGGATAGAGACGGATAGATAGATAGATAGGTAGATAGATAGGTAGATAGATGGATGGATAGATAGATAGGTAGATAGATAGGTAGATAGATAGATAGGTAGGAAGGTAGGTAGGTAGGTAGATAGATAGGTAGGTAGATAGGTAGGTAGGTAGATAGGTAGATAGGTAGATAGGAAAAGAGAGAGAGAGAGATAGAAAAAAGAAAGAAAAGAAAGAAAGAAAGAACGATAATTAGATAATTAGATAGATAGATAGATAGGTAGGTAGATAGATAGATAGATACATAGACATAGACAAACAGACAGACAGATAGAGAGAGAGAGAGACAGGCAGACAGACAGATAGGTTGGTAGGTCGGTAGATAGATAGACAGACAGACAGATAGATAGATAGAGAGAGAGAGAGAGACAGGCAGACAGACAGATAGATAGGTAGGTAGGTCGGCAGATAGATAGATAGACAGACAGACAGATAGATAGACAGATAGATAGATAGATATCTAGCTAGCTAGCTAGATTAGGTAGATTAGATAGATTAGATAGAGTAGATAGGGTAGATAGATTAGATAAACTAGATAAACTAGATAGATAGATAGATATGATAGATAGGATGGATAGGATAGAGAGGATAGACAGTATAGATGGGAAGATAGATAGATAGATCAGTAGGGTGGGTAGGATGGAGAGGATGGAGAGGATGGAGAGGATAGGGAGGATAGAGAGGATAGATAGGATAGGATAGAATAGGATAGGATAGACAGATAATTACAGTAGATAGATAGTGGGATAGTTAGATAGTTACATAGTTAGATAGATAGTTTGCTAATTAGATAATTGGCAAGATAAATAGATAGATAGATAGATAGACAGATAGAAAGAGACGGATGGATAGATAGATAGATAGGTAGGTAGGTAGGTAGGTGGATGGATGGATAGATGGATAGGTAGATAGATAGGTAGATACACAGATAGATTAGATAGATTAGATAGATTAGATTAGATTAGATTGGATTAGATTAGATTAGATTGATAGATTAGATAGATAGATAGATAGATAGATAGATCGATAGATCGATAGATCGATAGATGGATAGATGGATAGATGGATAGATGGATAGATTTGATAGATTGATAGATTTGATAGATTAGATAGATTAGATAGATTAGATAGATTAGATAGATTAGATAGATTAGATAGATTAGATAGATTAGATAGATTAGATAGATTAGATAGATTAGATAGATTAGATAGATTAGATAGATTGATAGATTAGATAGATTAGATAGATTAGATAGATTAGATAGATTAGATAGATTAGATAGATTAGATAGATTAGATAGATAGATAGATAGATAGATAGATAGATAAATTAGATAGATAAATTAGATAGATTAGATTGATTAGATAGATTAGAGTAGATTAGCTTAGATTAGATTAGGTTAGATAGCTAGACAGGCAGACAGACAGACAGACAGATAGATAGATAGATAGATTAGATAGATCGTCTGATAAGATAGATGTGAATTTGGTGCCACCAAATCAGTGCGAACTCAGTGATTGCCAGGAAGTCATCGGGAACATCATTTACATTTGGGACTTGCCTGCATCGCCCGTTGCATTTGGGCTTTTGTGGTGCATCGGCACTATTCATTCGGGTCCACAGGGCCCTTGAGCATTACCAATCATATGGCAACGCAGAGAAAACAGAAGTGCTTGCTTTGCACGTTGCACTTGTTCATTTCCAGTTGTGTTCAACACTTCGAGCGGTTGAAACACGAAGATCACTTTCCATGTCTTCACATTGGCTGCGGAGCCTACGAAGCTCCTGCTCCATACCCTGTGCTGTAGCCATGTCGCAATCTCCGAAGAGACCTACGGCATCGGGCTCAGCACCTTCTGGTAGCGAATCGCAGTATGTCAAAGACAACTTCGTGCCTCGCTTTGACAACACCTTGACCGGGCACAAGGAGTGGAGAAAGCGTGTGGTTTTGTATTCCAGACGCTTGGCAATCCAGGGCAGGGCAAAAGAAGTCGGAATGAATGTCTTAGCGATCCTAGAAGGTTCCAGCTGGACACAGTGTGAGGACATAGACTGGAAAGAACTCGAAGATGAAAACGGTTTAGATGTCCTTTTAGCACGTTTAGACAAACAGTGGCAGTATGATGACCGAGTGGAAACTAGCAACATTTTCGACACCTTTTTCTTCAAGGTTCAACGGAAGACTGGCCAAACTCTCATGGAGTATGTCACAGAGTTTCATCAAGCCTTGAGGGAAGTCTCACGTCTGAAGGTGTCTTTGCCTGATGAGATCACAGGCTGGCTGCTTCTGAGGCGTGCCGCACTCACCAAGGATCAGCAGCATCTTGTGCAAACTCAGGTCGGCAGAAACCTCACCCTGAAGAATGTCGAGCAGAGCATGTATCAGGTGTTCGGCCAGGACTACAGGCAGACCTACTTGCCCAACACCAACAAGGCCAAGGGCTTTGCGAAGGGCAAGGGCCGTCAACATATCATGCATGCTGATGATTCATATGATGATGGGAGTGAATGGCAAGAATACTATGAGACCGACGAGGTCTACTGGGATGCAGCTGGCGAGTCACCTGACCATGAAGAATACCATGATCCAAATGATGAGACGTGGGATGATACCTACTATGAGACTGAAGAGTCCTACCAGGATGAATCGCTCTTTGACATCCAAGAGTATGATGAGGCCTACACGGCCTACACCGATGCCAAGCAGCGCATACAGCAGCTTCGTCAGGCCAGAGGCTTTTATCCAGTTGTGGCTCT